GACTAATATACATATAACTTTATCCTTATAAAATTTATATTTTAAAAATATTCAGTACAATTTAAATTTAATTAAAAAGAAAATCAATTATATAAATTAATCGGCTCGATATCTGAGTCCCTGAATTAAGACTGTCAGGTAATATCTAAACATTATTTGACTCAATACATGAGATTAATCAATCTCCAGAAAAATGGATAAAACATCATGTATATTTTTTTTCATGAACCGCTTCAAATCTCGTGCTTATATAATCTTACATCTTTCTTTTCCATGTATACTTCGGCGTATATCAGCATGTCGGAAACGATCTCTAATTAACGGCATCGCAAGCCCGAGGTCAAACGTGTGTGTCACATTACATTAACAGATCCTAAGATCCAACGACGAGTCTCCGCGTGCTTTTACTTCCGGCCGCGTCGCGGATTTTTTTCTCCCGCGCTCGCTCTCTCTCTCTCTCTCTCTCTCGCTCTCTCTCTCTCTCTCTCTCTCTCTTTCTTTCTTTCGTTCGTTCGAACGGGAGTCGCGCTAGTCGATTAATTAAGTCCGGCGATCTGACGGGCGCGCATTGACTTATAGTACGACGTCCTTACTTTTCCAGCCTACGGGCTGGCGTCGACGCAATTATTTCTAATCACTTTAGAAAATTCCCCGCGCGTGGTCGATCGACAACCAATGTGTGTGCCATCTTTCTAGGCTGTCCGATCTCCGCTTTCTGACACGCGTCAGAGTTTCCTCGCCGCTCGTCCGTAAGCTGCTTGACCATAAACGGCTGATGTGTCTCTCGCCGACGAGAGCGACGATTGCTCGCGGTACCGAGTCAGATTTACGAAATTTTGTGTGTATGAAAGATTAGTTTGAATTATAAGATTGTATAGAGCTAAATCGAGAAAGACTTATAATTCTTACGTCTGTTTTAAATAACATTTTTACTCGTGTGATATAGATATCGATGTATGTGGCTGAGTACTTATATATATTTCTCTACGATAGAAAAAAAATGCAATTTCTACTTGTTGAATTTATCGGCAAAAACTTTGATTCATTGCTGGAGGTACTCCCTCGCGATTATGTTGATCGGATGATTCGCTAGATAACCGGTGACAAACGAGCGGTTATCGTCGATGATTGTTCTTCTTCCTACGGTCTTGTTTTTCTCGCGGAATCTAACGTAGGAGAAATTATCCGTATGCGCGCGCACTTCGAAAAGCCGACCGACACGATCGTTCTCTCATTAGCCTCGTTACCACTGAGAATGGGTCGAGGAACTCTCTTGAATGGGTCGAGGAACTCTATTTCCCTCGGCCCACGTCATTGTAAGGTCAGCGAACGGGTGTTGGGTGACGGTGGATGAAGATTTTTGGAGAATATTATATAAAAATGAGTAACGCACTTACGAAATTGAAGAAATTCTCTCGTACACATGGCTGAGAATTCATAAAACAGACTTTATATTTCCATTTCAATTAACATTAATTATCATGACGTTGTCCAACATGAATCTTTCGAAATATCGATTTCACCAATTAAATTTTTTAAATTTCGAAATGCATATTGCGCGGTAAGTGCCGCTTTTCCACGGGGCAGGGTGGAAGGGTGGAACCGCTAAACAGACACGCACACATGAGTAATTTTCTCCTTTACCGTTCTCCACCACGTAACGCTCTTGGAAAGGATCTATCGATCAATTACGAGCTCGATACACACGTCGACTGCGCCCGTAAAATGGGCTTTTACCGTCCAACTTTCCTTCGGGATATATGAAAGATCCTCACATCTTCGAGTAAGAGTACTGTTAAAGGTCGACTATAAATAAACCGAGAATACCGCGAATGTAACTGCGTGTGCGGACGCGCGACAAGAACCGATCATTCGTGAAGGTCGCACGCGTGGAGAATCGCGCGTCTCGTCAAATTTATATCAGAGATAATCAGATATCGTATCAAAATCTATCTTGTTTGACGCTTTTACGTAAGTCTCGAAAAAGTGTTCATACTTTTGTCAGACGTAATAAATTTACAAGTGAAATAAAATTAATCGATTTAAGAAGCGCGGTTAAATTCAACGCAATATTATTAATAGCGTATATTTCCACGAAACATCACCTGGGCAATAAATAACGCGATCGCAACTTTGTTTCATCAATCATATCTATAATATAGCTTACAAACTGATACAAAGTTGTTCGATTAATTCGCGAAAATTTTCTAATTATCATAAAACGTGATTATTTTATAATTACTTTGAAATATGATGTGACACTTTATACAAATAATTTTATAATTCTTTCTACAAAATATTTTCTATGTTACGGCAGTCAAATTATTATATAGAGTTTTTTCCAATTTCATCGCAATTTAAATGTTTTGAAATACTGATTTGACTCTGAATTAACTCACTTTTGATCCGATCAAGCCCCGCGGGCGCGACGAGAAGTTCATTCCGCGATTATAGTCCGACTATAGCTTGGAGATCGTTGTAAACAGGACTTAAATGGTGATTTGAGCTAGGCATAAAAGACTTCGCGTAACGACGTACTCGATGAGAAATGTAATTTTCTTTGCGCCGGCTACGCTCACGTTTAGCTACCGCAATGCGCATTTAATCTTTACGATGATTCGACTGACCATCGACTTAGTTAACGATCGACTTCTCGTCTGCGGACGATCTTGTATCGTTGTCGAACGTCTTACAAAGACCCCGTTTTCTATACCTGTTTATTATATCTTTCACAGCGTATGTATCCGATAATTATAAACTGTAATTAAAGTAATTAATCGCGCAACACATGCATCATTTTTTATTTTATTTTATTTTTTAAATAAATATATTTTATGTGTAGATTTTTGTGATGAGAAAAAAAAAATTTTTTATTATAATTTTGATTATTTTTATTTATTATTGGCAGACTACTACGTTTTATCGTTTCCTTAAAACTTCTTAGGGGAAAAGTGCATTTACGGAAAGAGGACTTTAGCGATCCTTTTTTGAAATGTCATTTTCTACCTTTGACATTATTGTACGATATACCGTGTTACGAGGCACTTTATGTGAAACATAAGCGCCGCATCGGCTGCGACCTGGCGCTTGCTTTCATACCCCACGCGATCGACACTTAACGACGCTAAACGCAGCGCTGCATTGTGTACGACGAAAAGGTCGCTTTCCCGAGGTACCCTTTAGACAGCGAATGTGACCGAAGACCCCGTCAAGATAATTAAGTAGATTGCCATGGAAATTAGATTAAGCGAGTTTCTCGCGAGCGGGGACATACAATCCACAGTTTAATTGCCCGGCATTGTGTCGCGGGAGTTAATGACTGCGCTCGCGGTTGCCTTCCTCTCAGAACACGCCGTCGCTATGTCGCTCAAGACAAGTTGCGACGCAACTTTAATTACGATGCGCGTGAAACACGGAGAACGGACGCGAATCGTGGATCGCGAAAACGAAATGTTACGATGCCACCGGGAGCTGAGAAACCGTGCTACTTACTCGTCGCGACAAAATTGGAATTACGCAAATCAATTGGAGCGTGTTACATCGCGACAACCATAATTTTAACTTTTTATTCTCAAAAGACGAGATCGTAATTCGATAGTGTAAATAAAGTTGAGCTAAAGATGATTTTCTCTTCATATAGATTAATTTTTTCAATAAATGTGCATAGCAATTTAAGCAAAAAAAAAAAAAAAAATCACACTACAATGGAAAAAATTAAAGAATGAAACTTTCGTGGATTCAGTTTAATTTCTCTTCACATGTTTCTACAATTTAAAACCTAACAAAATATCACTTTCGATTCCACATTGCGTAACGTGATCCATATATTTTAGGAAATGAAAAGAGAAGAGAAAGGAAAAGAGAGAAAGAGAGAAAGGAGAGACTACTTCGCGATTAATGCAACACATTAGCGAGAATTGTTAGGACTATGCACGGGCTAGTGATCATATCTCTGGTCTCGAAGTCCCACGTTACATTATTCCTGGTCGTTTGAACCATCCGGGATGGTAATTCCGCGTTATTTCCCGAGGTCGAGGTCGCGGCAGGCCTCTCGTCGATTCGCGTGGAAAAGGAGACCATCGACCTCCGCCGAATAAATCGTCGGGGACGATCTCGTCGTGACGAGATGACACGGTAAATCATCCGAGTTCTCAGGGATTCAAAAGGCTATATCTCTCGTCGATTAGCTTTAATAAAGACCTCGTTCGACTCGCCGATGTTAACGCCATTATTGCTACGTTATTATACAAGCGTGCAAAATCGTCGAGATAAAGTGTTTTTTAGAATAAAAGGAGATTTTATTTTTATAAATAAGAATCTTTAAATTTTTTATATGGTGGAAGACGAGTTGGAAAACGAGTTCTCTCTGATTGACTTGCTAATTAAATCCCATGATAATCAATGATATATCGTATCAATCAAACGGTGAATAAATTCCATAGCTAAAGATGGAGGAATAAGAGGAATATCCAAATAGATTTAATTAGTTCTAATCGTTCAATATATCTCTAGTTTATCTATAGTAATATATTTGGTTTTTTTTTCTTTTTCAACATTCCGTTAGAATATTCTCTCTTCTATCTTTATATATTTCATATTTCAATTTCAGAAACCATA